TGAAATAAGGTAAAAGTGCAAGAGGTTTAAAATGATTTTTTACAAGTTATTTCCTTTCATTTGCTGTCCACTCTTTAAAGGCAGCCCTGGGAGTCCTTGCTTTCCATCTAGCTTTTCCTATTTTCCTCAAAGAAAATGAGAACTTGTTAGTTTCTAGTGAAGAGTGATGTCAGAGTTCCTCAAATACCAAAGGTACTGCCAGCACACTCCCACAGCTGGTCAAGAGTCAAGCTGTTCACTTTGTCTGTGGGGTTTTATTGACTCTGACATTCTGTCAGGGCTTCACATAAGAAAACTGTCAGCAAGGCACACCTGCCAACTCAATCTTTTCAATCCAGCAGCCATGACAGTAATTAACTGTCACACTGCTTTATTTCCTCTGCTCACTAATTCCACTGAAACACAGCTTGGCGGGTCAAGGTTTTCCATGGTATTCAAAGCCTCCTCCACTAGCAGCAGGAAATGGCACACATCTTCCCACGGACTCAACCATTATTGCCTTCCAACATAAATCCCTTCAGATAAGAAATGTGTCCTAAATAAGTTTTATCTGCTGATTCACTGCATTCTTTGTGAGCAAATACATGCCTTCCATTTAAACTTTGAAGCTGTGTGATACTATATCGCCGATGAACCTCTAGATTCCAGCTGCAAAAGTTTGTACTGCATACTGCAGCTTTGGAAGCCAAGGCCACAGTCAACAGCATTTGCAATTTAGAAAAACTACATGTGGATTGTATCATTTGGGCTGTAAGGATGTACTTTATGTTGCTGATTACAATGACTGAGCAGAATAACCTATTTAAACACAATTTTATTATAACCACACATTTTTATGTTTGTCCTTGTAGAACAAGGTTCTGGTTCTGGTTAGTCTATGAGGTTGAAATCCCTCCTCTGCACCGTCACAAAGTGTGGCTAATTTCAAAACCCAAATCTGAGGTTACAGCGAAGTGGATGGACCTGTCTTATGTCCACACAGCTTAAGGAGCCCGTTCAATCACAGCACACCTCTCTGAAAGGCCTGCTGTACTGACACAAGTGCATTTTGATTAGTTTGGCTGCACTGTTACCTCGCAGCACTGGGGCCCTGGGTTCAAATCCCAAGCTGCTGTCTGCATGGAGTCTGTATGCTCTCCCCAAGTTCCCACAGGTTTTTGCTGAAGTGCTCCGGTTTCCTCCCCCAGTCCAAAGACATGCTGGCAAGCTCATTGTCTTCTGGGAAAATCAGCTCCAGTGTGAGTGTGTGCATGTCTCCGACTGTGAGCCCTGCAAGGGACCGGTGTCCCATCAAGGGAGTCTCCTGCCTTGCACCCACTGTCTGGCAGGATGGGTTCTGGCCCCACCATGAACATGCACTGGATAAAGGAAAATGGATGAATGGATGGCTTTGTCAATAAAGATTAGAAAAGCAACTTCTATGCTCAGCATTAATATTTTTTAAACATGAAATCCTGTTTCACCATGAGAATTCTGTCCCATCCAGAATTCCTTTGTCACATAAAACGACCCATCCATTACCATCTATTATCAGAAAGCCTTTCACTGGGCATGGAAACCCTGGAATACTGGGATCAAAGTGGGAGCAGAGGGATGTCCATCCATCTGTATGTAAAACCCCCACAAAAAGTGTCTCAGGATTAATCCAGAATAAGCTTTACATTTAAAGCCAATAAAAGTTCTTTATCTGTACAAATAAGGACGATAAGCAGAAGTCATGCATACTTCTATTTCTATATGATCTACACTAACCATTATCAATAATTATGAGATCTGTAGCACCAACAATAAAAATGTATAGTGAAAAAGATGGTAATCATGTGCCAAGTAACACGGTAGATTTTTTACAAAGTACTCAATCGCAAAAAACAACAGCAATAAAATGTTACCTGCCGTTATTGTTCATGAAGGTTTCTATAGTTCAGTTTACATGCTTGTACATGAACTAGAGAATATTACTGGCCCTTAAATTTTCTTGAAGACAATTATATTTTTACACTGATAAAACCAATTAAAAACTCCCTCTGTGTAAATTTAAAATATTCTTACCAATAGTTTCTCTCTTCTCATGGTACTTTTATTTTTTATTATTATGAGCTTCACTGTAAAACAATATTTTCAACTCAAAATTCATTTAGCATAATGCGCCCACCCATAAGGCTCCACAGAGTCTTTTTTAAAAGACCAAATTATTACTGTGATGATTAGAGCATAAATGACACATAAACACTAATACAGAAAAAAGAAAGAGAAGAAGTAAAACATCTCATCAGAATTAATTGTAGGCATAATTATCTCTAAGCAACCTGTTTAATTTGACCCAGTTTCTGTCAACAACAATTAAGCAAATATTCCCACGCAAGAGGTACAGAATGTATGTCACGGAAGCTAAACTAATAAATGACAAATTTTTTTTTGTTTCTCTTAATTACTTTTTAATGACTGTATGTTCCAGTATGCTTGAGTGCCATTAGAACAATCTAGCAAGCTTTCTGATCATTACTGTAGGTATATCCCACACTGGTAATCACAAGCCAGAGGTCTTTAAAGGCTCATGGTCTCCCGGATTTCACTGCACTCAAGCTCCTAATTATCTGGTTAGTACCAGTCATACAGCAAGACATTTGCTGGAGAAATCTGAGTGAATCTGTCTCTGCTTGCAGCCTTCCTGGGATCTGCACACACTGTCCTCAAGTCTGGAGTCCCAGAGACACAACCACAACACTGCTGTGCTCTGCTGGGCACATCTAACCCATCGCCAAGGTTTCAAGCAGATGATTATTTAAGTCCTGCATCAAACGGTTAAAAAATACAGCGGGCAAGTGCAAATTCCATCCACACCAAATCAGTTTGCAATATCTGTCTTGTCTGAGTTCCCACACCATTTAGTTTCAGTTGATTTTAATGGGAACTATGCTTCATATTTAACTTCCCATCTGGTTCTGATTGCACAATGAAACACTTGTGTACATCACCCATCCTTCAAGCTCTACAAGACAGATGTTCCACATGCCATTGGATTACACAATGAGGAAAAGGCACTGTGCTTTACTGATAAATCAAGATGCATTTTCCCATAAAACAGTTAATTCTGTCTAACGTCTAAACCTCAATATGTGAGATATGGTGTTATTAGAAAATATCAATTCTCATTAGACTACTACGAAGACCACCAGAAAACATAAAATATATTTTATTTGTCAGCACACAGTACTGATAAAATGCACATTAAAAAACAATGTACTGGCAATAACCCACTTCTTCAAAATGGCTGCATTTTTAAGTTATTAAAAAAAACACAGATATACTTTGTTTTAGAATGATCCATCCATAAACAGCCTTGTTTCGTATGACCTCTGTTGGCCTCCAGCACATACCGAATATTCATAGTAACAACTCGTTTCCTCTAAACCAGTAAAACATTTCCACACGTCTTTCCTGGAAAACAGCACTTAGACATGTTTGGATTTACTGCAATGAACTCGGCTCCAAGTCATTAGCTGACTGTGACAAGGCCCCAGGCAGCAAAGACAAATGGCTGGGACCGGCTGGCTAAGACGCACTTTGCTTTCTGGCAAGACATTCACTCCTTTAACAGGCCTGAGGCAACATCAGCGAAATGTGTATCACTCATCCAATCAGCACTAACTCTCCTGTAAGGCACTGTGAGGCTTAGAACAAAACAAATTATGAATGGCACTAGATGTGGAAGTACTGTATTAGAGCAATTATTTAAATTCTCAATGTGCGCAGTAAAGGAGCTTCTAGCCATACATACAGTATAATACACAATTCAAACTCCAAACTAGATGGACATCAAATAATAATTACTGGCAATTATAATTCCAACTGGCTTTTTTTTTAAACAATATACTGAACAAGCTAGAATGGAAGTTAAAAAGCAAAGCACTTCAGTGTCAGACTGGTGACAGTCAAGCAATAATTACCTTCCTCTTTCAACTGCAAGGGCATCAATCTCATCAAAGAACACAATGGAGGGAGCCACAGCCCTGGCTTTCCTGAAGACCTAACATTAGGAAGGGGAGAAATCCAGGAAAAAACTCTTAGTAACTGTCTGGTTGGTTTAATTCTTCTAAACATTAACCCGTACATTGTGTCTGAATAGAAAGATACTGTATATATTCAGCTGTATGTTTTATGAGTTGAATCTTATCAATTATTTCTGCTAACCCTTGCTGGAGCATGGAGTACTTTGTGTCAATCTGTCTGAAGTGGATTATTCAAAAGCAATCTACTGTACTTGAGAAGAGCCAGTCCAAATCACTCCCAAGCACAGGTAATCATTGCACGCATTCAATGTTAAATCAAACACTGTGCACCAAAATGAACGGGAACTTTTTTGAAGACCTTATAACAAAAGGGCACAGAAAACAAGTTTAAATCAATTTTCTTCTTCTGAAAAACAAAGCACAGTAGACTACTTCAGGGTAAACAATGAAACAGTAACTGGAGGGGAAAAAAGGAAGGTTATTACTGTGGCACTTCTTCACAAACAGTGTTGTTGAAATACGGAAATATGAAATAAGCTACTCAGGCTTATTGTTAAAGCCAATACCCTGGCTTCTTTCAAATAATAGATTAATAAGATTCTAAACTTAACTACTAAATGGGCAAGATGGACCAAATTGCCTCCTCTCATTTGTAAAATATCGTATGTTCTTATGTTCATATGCAATGTTAAGCTGTAATGAAGGGGCATGCATAGACATTTTCCACTTTGGGCAAACTTTGTTCCTAATTCATTTACTACAGATACGCTTGCAGTTAATGACAATAAGAAAGTTTGGGCACCTTGCCCAACGACCAAAAAAGGATTGTTTCCATATTGGAACATGGTTTGAATCATGTTTGGACAATTTTAAGCCATCATCTGCAACCTAAAAGTTATCTATGAACCATGTATATGCCCAAGTGCTGATGGAAAGAAGTCTTCTACCATATAGCTCATTTAACCAAATTAGACCTTCCTCATCTGTCAAACTGATTTTAGAAAACAATATAATGGCACTTTAATCACATTTGTGTTACCATACACCTTGTTAAGAGAATAAAACAATGGTTAAATAAAAACTTTAATTTTCAAGAGATGCGCATGGAAGCCGGAGAATTTATTAGTCTCCCCCTCGGGCTAGAAAGGGCCTCTTTTGGAATCTGGCTCATGTTTATAGTGAGGTAAACCTCTGAGAACATCCTGAGATAAATAAATACATTTTTCTCCACTCACCTCTCTGACAGCTCTCTCAGATTCACCCACATATTTACTCAATAATTCAGGGCCCTAGAAAAGAAATAAAACACGAATAGAACATCTTCATTTACATAATGAAATACTCTGTAAACAGTAAGAATTATGTCATATTCTGGCATATAATGCTCCAAAACTGTAAGAAATAAATGTAGAGTAAAAAGTAAGACCAAACATGAAACTGAAAAAAGGACTTTAATGTGCAATAGACACATTAAAATTTCATTGTTTAATATATAGGGATATTTGGCTATAGTTTTCACATTACTCTACTGAAATCAACATTATACGGTCTATAGTATCCCTCACAACATGCATCTCTATGCAACAGCAAAAAGTCTCACAGCCCTTTAATTCCCATTTTCTAAAAGAAACGGGAGAATGACAGTCATTCTTGGGTTGCCACCTTATTTGAGCACTCACAACACCACACACAGACCACACTGGTAGCACACAAGCACTAGGTTTACAACTCTATTACCCAGGTAATACTCTACCTCTCAGACAAGACTATTTTAGCACACTGGTCACAATGTTTTAAATGTTAAATGTAAGGAAAAATATTCTTACCCCCCCGAAAAATGGATTTGTGTACTTCTGCACTCTCCTGTTGTACATATAGTTGACACAGGATGAGATCCTGACTGGAGAGCAAAAGCTGTATTTTCACATTTTAACTTAGGTTTTTTTTTCCTGTCAAGCCATGACTAGCAATTTAGTAATTCATTTAAACTTAAGATGCTTATCTGTGTTAAATCAACCTGCAAATACATGACTTTATAACCCTGAATATATACCCGCATTATGCAAATCAGAAAAACTGAACTTTAAACAAGTGCATGTATATACTTGCGATGTGCACCTGTGTTGTACAAACCTTAAAAAGGTGAACTTTAATTATATAAAACTACAAAGAGATTAACTGTAACCATAACAAATATTACCCTGTAGATTATACTGCTAAAATGTTTATTTTGCTTCAGTTTTGAAAGTTTGATTTTTACCAAACTGGGTGAATTAGCTTAATCATCTTAGCTTCAAGTTCCTCTTTAGTTCCAATGGCTTTTCTTGTTGGCATGTTGATACCTGCCCAGCTGTGGATTTCTTGCTAGTGTCACCACCCCCAACTGACAGAGCAGCACAGCAAAACAACTATATTTTGTCAGCTATAAAAGCTGATGCAGGTAGGGACTTTCTGAAATCTACACTTGCTTGACAAAATGGCACAACATCACTATAATCTGCAGTTTAAGCAATATAGACAAGAGGATTCATGTGTTTGTGAAATAAACACTTAAGACTGCTCAAAGCCAAAACATGCAATGCCATTTTCAGATTTAATCTAAGATGTTAAATACAAAAATACAGATGAAGATAAAGCATATTGGTAGCCTGAACAGGCAAATGCGGTCTATGCACTGTCAGAAAATCTCTGCCAGTTTCTATATGGGGTCACACAAAGGAAGAGGCTGGAAAGCCCTAATCTGAGAACCCATAAGGACAGTTTATTAAACATATTCAGTCACAAATACAGACGTTGAGCAGCAAGTCGGTCATGCTTCCTATCATGTTGATGTGTTACATTGAGCAGAGCCTAGCAGGCTTGGTTTCTTTTAATAGGATGCAATTTATTGCTGCCATTAGAAATTCCACATGCGCACTGTAAACTTTCAAGGCTCATTGTAGCTGTCTATGTAATGGTAAAGCAACAGTCCTTTATAATGTTTTTTTTTTCTCTAGTCAATCTTGGAACTCCATTATGGAGGTCTCAGAGGTCTCAGAATCCTCATTAGCTCTCGTATCTCAGTTTCAGCAATATACAGTATTCAAGGGTGTAAATGAATGAGCCACATAGGATACACATGAGCAGATTATGTGTATCCAATCTTCTATCCTGTGAAGATCTCTCTATCCTTACATGTCTTCCAGGCCCTGATTTAGCAAAGCATCCCCATAGCATTATACTGCTTCACAATTCACAGTAGGGATGGTGTCCTACTGATTACTGATTACGCCAAACATAATGCTTACCGTTGAGCCCGAAAGGGTCAATTTTGGTTTCATCAGACCATAGAATCTCCATCAAATTGCAAAGTATAGTTGAGATTTGATGGGAGTTTTTTGTCACTCTTCCATGAAGCCCAAATCTGTGAAGCACCAAGGCAATTGGCATATGCACAGTTTCTCCCACCTCAGCCATGGAAGACTGTAATTACTTTCGAGTCGCCACAGGCTTCATGATGCCCTCCCTAACTAGTGCTTTTCTCACCTGGATACTGTTTTTGAGGACACCTGGTCTTCAGAGTTTCAGAGTTGTGCCGCATTTTGTACATTTCTTTATAATGGACATTTCTGTGCTTTGGCGGATATGTAATGCTTTTGGGATTTTCTTATACCTTTCCCATAATTGGTGCTTTCTAAAAACTCTATCCCAGATTTACTTTGAAAGTTCCTTTGTGTTCATGATGGAGATTTTGTAGAGAGCTGTACTGATCAACTGTGGGTCCTACCGTAGATAGGTATATCTCCTAAGTGCACACAGGTAGACTCCATTCTACAAATTATGTGACTTCTAAAAACATTAGGATGCACCAGAGTCTATTTAGGTGTGCCACAGAAAAAGGGTGTGAATACTTATGGAATCACCTATTTTACATTAATTTCCTGTTTTATATTTATAATTAATTTAGGATGATCTGTAGAATTTAGTTTATAATTTGACATTATAGGGTGTTTTGTGTTTTGTGTTGTGTTTTGATCAATGGCAAAAAAAATCCATATAAATAGACTAATTCTATGTTGTAACACAGTGAAATGTGAAAAAGTCCAAGGGGTGTGGAATGCTTTTGGAATTATAATGTATATCTGGACTACAAAAAACAAAGGGCTTTGCTAATAACAAACTACGGTCATAACATACAACATTCATTTTTGATACTTGCCTCTTAACCATTCAAATTGTGCAAATGTAATTTATAAACCCGGATCTATATTTTACAGATTCTTAAAAAGACTGGACTCATTTGTTCTTTCTAGGTGTACCATATAGAATGTCCTCTTGAGATTTTACTAGTATGAACTTCTTAAATGCACTGAAACATTTTATTCTACAGCAATCAAGCTTTTTTTTCCATCTTCATATGACATGAAAGTTCAGCTTTCACCACAAAAGTAAATACTATGTTAGTAAATACTAAATACTAAAATGAAGGTTGCCTACCCCGTGGTAAAAATAGTGGAAAAACCCAAACAAAGGAAAGGAAAAAAAGGCCTGTCTAAAGAACAGCTGAAATCTAGCTTAGAAATCTTTCAATGATTAAAGAAAAGTTATTTTTGAAACCGTAATTGTCAAGGAGCCTACAGAACAAAAGATAAATATCTACAGCACCAGGATTCTCTAGGACCTTGTTCCCTTCAAAGCATGTAAACATCAACTTTAAAACCATGTTTTAAGAAGCTTTTAAAACAATACTGCTCATTTTTGTCTAAAAGGCAGAAAACACTGAACAACAGCTTTTTGTCTCTTATAATAAACTTATAATAACTTTATGAAATTCTTTTTTACAGCTTTCACTACAGGTAACATACTCCATCATCCCTACCTGTTCATGGGAAGATCCTGTATTTTGAGGTAATATAATCATTAAAGAAACAACTTTTTTATATTCTGGAATCCACTTGGTCAGAGAATAAATGAAGTATAATATAATGGACTTCCTAATTCTGATTACCCTATTCCTTAACAAAATATTTGAAAAGCAAATATTTAATATTTAGTGGAAAGGTTATGGTTAAAAATTTTCTAATCTCATTGTTACACACTTGCATGAGCAAAAAAAAAACATAACAAATTATTTAATTTCAGCTATTGGAAAAATAATGTTTTTAATTATCTGAACAGGAAATTGTCTTTTGCTTAGTCAGATCTGTAAAATCTGAAATCTAAAGGTTTTTCAAATCCATGGTCTTTTACTATGACCTGGCCACTCTTTAAAGCTCACCTGTTCAGAATGCAGTGGTGAATACAAAACTCTGCTCCTCATACTACATTACAGAATACAGCTATTGAATGATGTAGTCTTATTTTTACTGTGCACATCTGTATAAGATGATGTATTATATTCTGAACTGTTGTGATGTGCCCATAATGCTGTGTCCAATAAACATCTGTAAAATATACAGTATAAAATACTTAAATATTTTGTAAGAATAGTTATTTAATCTATTCAAAGCTGTTCACATTTCAACACCGTTAAAAACAGTGTTGGCCAAACCATAATAATTAGAAGATCACTTGAGGGATTAAACCTTACGAGATATTGTAATCTGATACAAGCAGTGCTGTATGTTGATAACATCATGGATGTTCTAATTGAATCCCATCTTAATTCTGAAGACCCAGACTAATCACAATTTTCAGAGGAGTGAACTTCTAAAACCCTTATGGCTGGTTTCTAAAAGAGACCAGTTATTGTCTTTTCTCTCCAAATATGAACCATGAAAAACAAACAATGTTGGTTCTTTTTCTCTTTCTCTGTCTCACCAGATTAATTCTTTCCATAAAACCACAACAACCACAAAGCCCCTGATCTGTTTCTCATCGCTTTGTTTACTTTTATTATCAAACTCTTCATGAGTCTCCAATCTTTTAACCTGCAGCTTTTGTCTTGTATTGAAACAGAAAAGAATAGCTTCTGAAGTAAACTGTAAATTGCACAGAACTATCGGAGTTTAATGCTACATCTGTTTGGTTTACATCAGCAATTTCCATCAGCACTTGGATAAATATGGATTGCTGTAGATCCACCCTTTCTAGCTGTGTTTGACTCAACTGGACCTTACAGACTCAAAGAGCCCCACATGCACTTATAAAATTATTCCACAGCAAGCTGAACAAAGCCATGCACTATATATTTCTACCCTTTTGGACTGATTAGGATGCAGTTCAGGAAAGTCTATCTTGAAGTCACACATTTACTACAAACTGAATTTTATGGATTTAATAGAATGATATGAAGAACCAGAAATTAATAAAGGCAGTTAACAAAAGCACCAATACGATTTGAGTCGAATGAGTAACAATATGATAGTATGTAGAAGTGTCTGGCAATATATTGCAAGAGCAATCCTGATCTAAAAACATAACCTCTCATTATCAAAGACCATAACTAAATGCATTCCTTCCTGAAAATGAGTTTAAAAACCTATGAGTTGCAAAAGGTATTCAACATGCTTGTACAGTACATTATACATTACACCAATTAAAAAGTTGTAGAAGTCATATACCAAATATATGCAGTTCATATCAAGTTATTTGTACCTTATTTCATTTACAATTCATTCCTAATCTCAAGTCATATTACCATCTGTGACTGGCTAATAATGTTCTGTTCGTCCCAGGGCAATTGAGTGATGGAATTTGAACAACACAGGTCACCAAAGCTACACCACAAATTCTTGCAAGTACAGCTGCTGTGTCAGAATAATCTGTCATTATTCTGCAGTGGACAAAATAAATGAAATAGTTTAAACTTTTGGAATAATCAAAAGGCTCCAGATCTGGACCCTCAGATGTAACCATCTTTAAAACATTCTCCGGTGCGGAAAATATGACAATGCCTTGTTGCTTGATTAAATTTGCATAGATTCTCACAATTACCATATTTTTGTTGGGGGCATTTTCCATGAAAGTCCTATCATGTCTAAAGATGGATGCCACAAAATCATAGCTGCAAGATCACCACCTAAGAATAAAGACCAGGAAAGAGTTACTCAAACTCTTCTGCGGTGGTCCTAAAGAACGACTTATCTGATAACTGATAATGAAACAGAGATTCACAGATTAGTTCCTGAGAACAAGCTTGAATCAATGCAGCAGAAGCTCCCAGAATTGCTGCCCACAAAGAAGGTCTGCAAAATGATCACAGCAGACTTTATCATCAATAAAGACAAGTAAAACTGTTGCAGAGGCACCATTACCTCCTCCCTGCTTCAGAGAGCATGTTTCCTGGGACAATGTGCAGGTCCTTTCTTTCCCCACATCTTAAAATTTCTATCACTTGGTAATGAGGTTTACCCTGATCTCATCACTCACATCTTTGTAATTTCAAGCAAATTCTGAAGCAAAAGTAAGTTCTGACTTTGCCATCCTAAATCTTTCGGAAAACATGGTATTTATCGTACATCGAGGCTGCAGAAATTCTTGAACGCTCCTTGCAATCTGTAAAATCTTATAGAAAAACAACAGGCCTTTTAAGAAGTAACACCCCAAAAAAAGTGCATCTTAAACTTTCCAAATGTAGAAATGGTCATCATTTAAAATCTGTGCACTAGGTTTCTCCTTAAATTAGAAGAACCTTGAACACAAACAGCCGAAAAAGAAAAGGCAAAAAAAATATTCTCACATGAATATGTATACACAGGCTGAACTTCAGTAAATGAATTTCGCTGACATTTCTCTTGGATCACAGCAGTTGAACCTGGACTAAATTTAATCAGGGACTTGTTGAGCAATTCTGTCATGGACCCTTCAAACACTCCCCCACAACTGCAAAGCAGTTTTCAAATAACACAGAACCAGTCAACAATTCCAGAGCCAATTAATCTCCTTTAACATGCTGCTGCTGCCATGTGGGAGTTGCTGAGGAAATTTCAGCTGTAAAATATCTCCGGGTGATGTATGGAGAAGACAAACAAAAGGTCAGCAGATGTCAAGTGAGGAGCCCTTTTAGGTCTTTACGGTGGTATCCTGGGGAGCTCACAGCACAAGGAGAGGAAGCACAGCAATGAAGCTTTTGCATGAATGGAAAGAAGCCAACTGCTTTGTACAAAACTAACATTTAACCAAGAAGAACAAAAACATCACAGGCGTTCTTTCATTACTTTTTACTCCACTGCAGTATGCCTCCTCAACAGCTAACTGCAATGCCTCAGACTCAATGCACATCTGCAGTATGCACTTTTTGCATGGTCTACTGTGTTTTTTCCCACTAATACATATTTATTGTTCTCCACAACACATTCATTGTTCTGTTGTTATTATTTATTACAGTATGTTTGTAATGTACTGTGTACATTGTGTGGTGTCTATTGTACTATGTAGGGGCTGTTGTACTGTGTATGAGCCGAGAGATCAGCGCGAATAGGAATTCCAATGTTCACATACATGTGGCAATAAACTCCTCTACTACACCACTTGAAAGTCTTCTGACACTGAAACACTTTTCACCGATCTCCCTAGGTCTGCTTACTAATTCTACAGAATTATAAAATTATAAAAAACACAGACTTCACTTACTTTTTAAAATGCTAATTTTAGTACTACCTATCTTTTTATAAATAATCTTTGGCCTTTTTATAAAAGCCCAAGGGAAAACACTGTGATAAGCCCCCTGTTAAAGAACCAGGCTCTTTCTAAACCCACACATATACAACACATTTAGTCGCTTAACTACCTTTATAGCCAAGAAGTTGATTCCACTCTCATTTGCTAAGGCCTTTGCTATCATTGTCTTGGAGCAGCCAGGAGGACCATACAGGAGGATGCCTTTTGGGGGGTTAATACCCATCCGAGAGAAAGACTCTGGGTGCTTCAGTGGCCACTCCACAGCCTGTTTCAGCTTCAACTTCACCTGGTCCATCCCTCCAACATCTGCCCAACGTACCTGTGCAGTCGGTAAAAAAAAAAATTACATTATCAAATGAATTGAAATGCTGAAAGGCACATTTGCAAACTCCAGAGTTATTTAATTTGAATGTCTTTAAAGTCTGGTCGAATGACATCAGCTTCTAGTTAAGGGTTCGACATATGATAATCTGTGGTCAGCTAATGTACTACACGTACAGTACATGTGCCTCACAGAGAAATCTTACAAGGCCTTTCAGTAAAGGGCTGGAAATCACATTCCTTACTGGTTTTGCTGCACACCACTACGTCTGTGCCTGCGTAATAGAAGGAGAGATTGCATTTCTGAGCTTCTGATACCTTAAAAGGTGAAGAAACTACAGGAAACAGATGTTTTATTTTTTGCATGCACCTTCATGAATTACTCTTAAAACAACACTCATGCATTTGCTTTTCACTTAGTGCACAGTGATTCAAGGCAGCCAACTTGCAAAGTGTAGACTCTGTTTTATAAAAGAACTTCTAATGACAATTAAAACAAGTATATTCTGAATTAAGACTGTAATATTAGCCATTAGGCCAGTACACCAACCATCAAAATATGACTGATAAGACAATATATACCTTGAGGAAACAGAAATAAAAGCTCCATACACTTTCATTTAATCTGTTTTTGCAAATAATATGATCCCAGCCCACTGTAGGTTGTCTCCAGTTAATAAGGTACGTAATGGAAAACTGGCTCCTGTCCACAAACTGTAAATACTACACATTAAACATTTCAGAGAAAGACAGGAGGTTTCTGCATTTCCAGAATACAAAGCATTCTGCAGCCTCTGCCAATACCTGCACACTGTAAATCGATCAAACCAACAGAAGTGCCTAAACAGGTGTGGGGATGTGCAACCCAAATCTTTTCATGTTTTGCTATATGCATCAAAGATGAATTTACAAATACTATTTTAACTGGAAGTTATAAAAGCTTGTTTAATTTCTTACCCCTCTTTCAAAATAATTACTTGACTGTATTATTTTTTTTTGGCTGTTAACTCAGGCGACATTTATTTAGTTATTTATTTCAATGGGCAAAAGCTGCCAGATGAATGGTGGATTTTCTTTTCTGACTGCACTTTAGCAACCAGTCCAGTCTTCAAAATCAATTTCAGGATTACATCTTGTCCAGTTTCACTCCAAGGGGTTTTATGTAAATGAACTAGAAACAAATGTTTCCCCTCATGTGGATATAATCAAGTCTGCCTTTGCGGCCGGCTCTTCAAGCTGTGTACAGTAACTGAAGTCCTCCTTTGTTTTAGGCATCTAGCCACAGAACTAAAAATTTAGGGTGATCTTAATACAGCATAGGAAATTCATCCTTATTAGTATAATCCAATATCGTCTGTTTTAAATTAACACAAAGATGATGTGATGGTCTTCCTGTATGTTATGTCTTGCACATGCAACCTCCTAACATCCTATATCTCATGGAAATGCTTCAACAAGATTTTCACCCTGGGACGGGTAGCAAGTACACTGTTTATCTGGCATATGGAGTAGTTGAGTTGGCTCCGCTATCCCATGCAAAAAGAGAAGGTTTAAAATGCTTACGCACTTTTGGGACATCAATCGCAACCTCTCGCATGGCGCTGGGTTGGACATCATTCATGGCTTGCTGGAAGTCCAGGAATGTGACTGCTACTGTTCCCATGACTTCAGCGTCAGAAAGCTGCGTGTCCTTGCTTAATGCCCGACGCAATGCATGTAGCCCTGTCAAGAGAAAAGGTGTTCAGCATGTGTGGAATCTCCTGCTGAAGAACTGTGATAAAATGAACCAACTGAAAAGGATAAGATTCGTTATTCTTGTACAATTAGGACGAGGGCTTTTTTCTGGACCCACCTATCATTACACAGCATTGCACAGCTCTATATTATGTTTTCATTTATTAATTTTACAATTGATATAGCTGTAATATTGAGCTAAATAATTTATCATTCTGACAGGCTCCGAGAACACGTAAACAAGGTAAGGGACACACAAATCTGGTGTCTAAGTAATAAAACCACGTTTTGTCTTAAAACAAACACATATACTGTATACAGTACAACCAATCAATAACATTTTAAAAATACATTAAAGACAGACAGTACAGTATAATTCTAGCAAATATACTTAGTGTATTCAAATGTAGTGCTACATTCAGGACTGATTAAACTTTTTAATACATGCAATTATATGTCACAGAGAAAAAAGACATGGTTCTTTCAAAACAATTACTATTGAATACCACTATAAAACATAACAAAATCTCTCTCGATATTTGAATTAATCTCAAAGTGTCACAGTTTTTTAGACGCATTGAAAGCCTTATTCAGTGCAAAGACTAAGGCGCTGAAAGAGAAGAAAGTGATGTTTCTCAAAACAGAAGAAATAGCTAAACCATCAGAGCCGTGGACAACCTTTGGACTGGGAAGAGGCAAGTTCCTGGGTAACGTTAACAACTCAAAGCTCTGCCTCTCGGAAGTTATGGAATTATTATAGTTATAGTCCATATAATGCAAAGTCACATTAAATATGAAGTGAAATAAAGCATTCTCCTGGTCTTTTTAAAAACTAGATTTTTATCAACAGGATTTAAAAGGAATTAGGAATTTTAACTAACAAGGCAGATTGATAAAATGTGAACAACAGTTTAGAATTAAGTATTTTATTATTTAAGGATTTTAAGTATTTAGAAGTAAGTATTCTGAATATACAACCAGTTTAAGCACTTAAAGAATAACATTGAAACATATGACTTCATTAATACTCATATTGTAAAAATCCTCTCCTTAAGACCATTCAAGATATTACTCCCATCCCTCTCAAGCTTAGGCACTCTGAGCAGGATGTAGAATTTAATTTTCAAGGACTGACAGAAAAATAATTGCCTTTAGGAGGTGTTGAAAACCTCAAACATTTGTGACAGTTAAAAAGTTAATAAGCACCAAAAAATTGACACATCATTCGAGCTATGTATGGAGAAGAATGTGCACACTGTAAAAATAATGAAAATAAAAATCCCCTCTTCTTTGGTATGAAGGAAATGCATTCAATGAGAACATGGAATAGAGGCAGCACAGGAAATATCAACAAAACGAACAAGATCTTCATTAAGGAGCTAATCTCTAAGTGCATGACAGGACACTATCCAGTAAACACAAAAATAAGGCTTCAGTGCTACACGTAGTCACCTTAAGTACCCTAATTGTACAAGAACTCAAGGACACTGCCTGGAAAACAACCTGCTTCTTCATTTCAGGATATTGCGAATATCACTTAAAAACCAGCTCAGAGGCTTCCTTCAAAAAGCAAGGGTTAAAGCAGACAAGAAGGATTTACAATCAGACAAGGCTGTATCCTGTTTATATTTTTCAGGATCTGACCGAGACTTTGAAAAACACAATTAATACCGCAGCCAAGTGCAAGGTCAATGTGTTCCAGCTCGGGCCTTGTGCTCTCCCTGGAGCCCCACATCAATACTCTTCAGAAACCACTGCCGGATAAGACTGCAATCTCTTTGAATTAATGGTCTTTAACAGTACAAAAACATCTGTTCCAGCCTTAGTCAATAAGGCTAAATCACATTAAAGGCCAGCTTGCTGTGTCTGAAGTTTTCTATTAAAGCAGTAGCACCAATACAGTACTGGAGCTTTGTTGATAAGTACATAAAAGTAATTTGAAGTTGTAAATAACTGTAAGCTCTTGGTTTGACAAGCCTCTTCTTACTGACTTCTTAAAAGTTGACCACTTTCAGACAAGTGAGGATGAGTGCCTGTTTATTCTTTCTACCATGAATTATTACTTTTTAAACCACAGGAAATTGGTTTAAGAGTATAGAAGAGATACTAGCACTCATAACAGCTCCTTTAGAAAGGACAGTGTAATATAAATAGTCGCTTAACTACCTGAGCACTAAAGTATATAATGACTGCCACAGGTCTTATAAAAAAATAATAATATTTAGAGTGAGCAACTGCAATTTTCATTTGTGTCTTCATGAACAGGTATCATACTGTAAGTTGCCATGGTGACAGATCTGAAAATAGCTTTTGTATTTTGACCAGAAAATACTGAAAATTTATGACCATGACTTTAAATTATATCTGTCACACTTTTTGCATATTCAAGCGGAATTGTGGAATTGTGAATGTTTGCCATTTTGTACAGCCACTACTGAAATTTAACTGTCAGTACTGACTGTTTCTGTACTCAGAAAGCAGTTAATATTGGATTAGTCCAGCTTTTTGGATAAGAACTACCGGATCCCTTTTCTTTGAGGGGAGGTGGGGGGGAGGTCAAGGGTATTTTATATGTGCAATAGTTACCCAGACAACCATTAGGCTATGGCAACACAGAGTGACCCAAAAAGAAAAATAATTAGAAAACAACCTTAAAGTATAATTTGATGATTGTGATTAGATTGTCTTTTTTATTGATAGCTCAATTGGCTCAATATGATACCTGTTCATGAAGACACAAATGAAAATTGCAGTTGCTCACTCTAAATATTATTATTTTTTTATAAGACCTGTGGCAGTCATTATATACTTTAGTGCTCAGGTAGTTAAGCGACTATTTATATTACACTGTCCTTTCTAAACGAGATATAGGATGCCTGTGATTATAAATGTACATGACAGAAAAAAGGAAATTAAGACATCATTTAAGATGCCTTCACTTTAACAAGGCCTGAACTGAGCTGAAATCTGCCTTGTTCTGAGACAGTAGCAAACCTTTTAAAGTGGCCCATAAGGACATTTGTCACCATTTTCTTTTCTCATAATGTGATGCATATTTCAAAATGTAAGTCTAAATCCTTTAACATTCGCTGTTCTAAGCTGTTTCATTTGAGGTATTGGAGGTCACTTGTAAAACCTACTCAACCTGGGTGTCCTGTTAGACAGATGATTAAATGCATTCCCGTAACTTGTCACCATAATCTATCAGAGGCAACAGTAGCTAGAACACATGCAACTCAAGCTTATGATAAACTGTTTTTAAGTTAATCAATGTGTTATACAAAACGTAATTCAGAGTCAGTGAGTGGCATAGTAGCACAGTGAATTGCATTGTTGCCTCACAGCACTGGGGACCTGGGTTAAATTCCTGGAGTGCAATGCGCATGAAGTTTGTATGTTCTTCCCTTGTTTGTGTGGGCATTCTCTGAGTGCTCCAGTTTCCTCCCAGACTCCAAAGACATGGGTAGGTTAATTGGCTTCTGGGAAAACTGCCCCTGATGTGTATATGTGCATGTTTGTGTCTGTGTGTGCCCTGCAATGGACTGGCGTCCCCTCCAGAGTGTATCCTGCTTAATGCCCATTGCTTGCTGGGATAGGCTCCGACCGCCCTGCAACCCTGTATTGGATAAAGCAGTTAGAAAATGAAGCGATGGAATTCAGAGTCAATTCGCAAAAGTCCTGATCAATCTGCTCTGCTTTTTATGCAATCAACCTTTTCAAGAAAATCCAGGCATGCAGGACAGTTTCCTTAACTTTGGAGTCCAACAACTTCGAAAGAAGACTCTAGTAGTAGGAATACATAAAACTAAATCCATGTAGTACTGACAGGTTAGAAATAAGATGGATGAAGTCAGTTCACAAAGTTATAATACTGAGGCTCAGTGAGCTGAGGAAAAATAGTTTTGAAAACATTTGCATAAAGTCTATGTACTCAGCACAAAAAAGAAAAGTGTCAATATTTATTCAGAGCAAAACACTAAACCAACATCAGTCAACAAATGAAACCTTCAGCAATAACATTTCAGGATGCCAAGAGTCTCAGGAAAAAACAAAGATGTGCTGACAGATACCAAGAAGACTTAAATCTAAATTAATCCATTTTAAATGCCCTTACTGCAAAAGCCAAGACAGAGCCAAAAAATAACTAATCAAAATAAAATATATTTAATTGAAAAGTGGATTGTATTCCATAAGCTGTTTAATCGCTGTCATGACAACTGTTCAACTACTTTAACCACAATTTCTCCTTAAACACACAACATCTGCAACCACACATTACAGGATTTGATCAGGTGATCAGCATATACTCGCATTATCAGTGGAAGTCATAATCTCATTTATTATGCTCCGTTCCCTTGTTATACTGAAATAATACATACAGCATACACACACATGCACGGTACACGCAAATCTGAGAGTCAGCCTTCGGACTCCTTTCCAAAAAGTCCTGATCAATCTGCTCTCCATTTGCTTTTACACAGCATCACTGTGGCTGCCACTGATCTGCTCCTCCTACCACACACTGAGGCCACAGCTGTGGGTGTGTCAGTACAAGTCCAGAGATGAAACCAGGGGAAAACACAAGCAGCAACACTATAAATCAGTTACTAAAAAAAGGCCAAGATTTTGAGTAATACTGCTCAAGACATCTCAATTATCTCCATTATTGCACAAATACTGATAAATCCAAAATTATGTGGTCACACAGGTGTTTTATGAGATTAAACTTCTATGCCTTTTCCGAACTTGAACTCGTAACCTATTCCTACAGTAGGTACCACACTTAGACAGCAATTCAGACTGCACAAAGTTACTCATGGTTAAAGAGTTAAACACAAGAGTTAGCAAGGCATTCTTTTAATCATTAGGAAATTATTCAAGTGGGGTAAACTGAGCTTGAGCCAGTGATCCTGTGGTTGTTAACCAAGCATGTTACCAATTAGAACATTTTAAAATAGAATCTTTTTTTTGTGTGCTCCAGTTTCAAT